AGAGTTGCAAGCTAAACAGGCCGACGCAACTCTTTCGCAAGAGAGCTGCACCACGCTGCAAATTACCGCCGTAGGATCACAATGTAGGGTAGACGTGGACTGGTCGTGGGCGGGAACTGGGCGGACGTGCTCATTTTTATGTTCGTGAAGTGCGGACGTTGTGTAACACGCACTGTGCATGCTGGGTACATTGCGTGACATGCAACATGCAGTTAGGGCTTACTACCTGACATGCAATGTACAAGTTAGGTGTCCATTTTTATCAGAATTGGAGCTCATCAACTTTCGGTACACCATAAACTTTTTAGTTCCATCATTAATATGCCTTACAGTATATGCACCAATAAGGATTGAAAGCGATGCCGTGACATAAATTGTGAAGGAAATGCTTCATCAGATAGTGCTACAATTATCAATCTTTCAATAATTTATTGCCAACGAAAGGTAAGTTATTCATCTGCTGAAATGATTATAAGAGAGTTGAGGAAAAGCATTCTCGAGCAGATGATGTTATAAACAATCTGCAGTGGTTTCCCTTTTTTTATGAAGATTTGCGTCAACATTTGATACTAAATTAGGAGTTGTTTGACATAAGGATAAATGTGTAGCATCACGAGCAGTTGCATTAGCAAGCTGTTCTTCAGACTTTGCTGGCACTGCCTACGCATTCTTTCATGAATGAACTTTAAAGTTGCTAGATCGTAATACGTCTTGAAACGTAATAGCATTGTTATGGTTCGACAGTGTTAGAGGGCTGATTCGTGGCAAATTTTTAGCACTCCATTTGTTATTCGGAGCCTGTAATACTGACTTTAATATTTTCACTTTATTTTAATGCACAGCATTATTTTTTTGGAGCATTTATGATACACTTCCATATTGATTTTTTTTCCAATTAGCAGAATGTCTAAATGAATTAGTGTGGAATTGTTTATGGCTGTTTTTCTCGTTTATTCTTTAGCGACAGAGTCATAGTAGGCAGTAGTTTTTGATAACTACCATTTTTTGTCTTTTTTTTGCAGGATTTATATCTTGTTTCATCTTGTATGGTAAATACTAATGATTGTACTGTTTTTCAGTCAATGAATATGAGTTGTCAGCTGCTTCATCCTGATGAGGACAGATTTTTCACTTTCGCCTTAAATCTTGTTAATAAAGCTGGGATAGTAAGTTCTTGATATTTTAAAGAAATGTTGCTGTCGTATATATCTATATATTTGCTATTTCAATTTTGTAGCTGGTTCGAACTGCCTTCGAGCAACCATGTTCAGAAGTGCATACGAAAATGTCGAACACTGATTTGGTGACCGAAACAGACCAAGCGGTTGAAAAGATGTTGATCGAAAATCTTTCGAAAGAATTCCCTGATCATAAGTTAGTTTTTATTAGCACCCTTAAGATTTTGTGAATGT